ACCTCGATTAATCGCCGTGATGAATTCAAATTTGATGACGAGGAACACATTTTATATTAAAGTTTTTCTTCATTACCCATTCAAGCAGTTTCCAGCCATTAATAGTCTTAAGCCATTCATTCGGTTGTTGTTGTTAGTGGCAGGGCTAATAGGATTTTAGGTTGTTTCTACAGAAATTTTGAATAAAGTCTAAATCTATACATACAAAGCACAAAAAAATTGGACTGTTTGTCCATTTTCTGACTACTCCTAAGTTGCTGGGCCAATCGCAACCAAACTTTGTGGGATAATAGATGTAAACAAGGGGCATGTTAATGGAGGGGGGGGGGGCACAACCTCCTCCACTCTATTATTGCTGTTATTGAGCATTTATTATCTTTATCATAATTTAACATTAAATACATTTATATTAGGCACTACATCCTTACACCAAAAACAAAAAAACTTCATGAAATTTTCTTATAAAACAACATACACATAATGGGGGCTCAAAAATGTCTTACATATCTTAGAGAGTGAACTAGTACTTTTTGTGGAGAAATGCAATGAAAAAAATTACCACCACCATTGCAATACTACATAAGCTCAGCTGAAGTTTCTATTTCAACAGCTGTCATAAGGCTGATATGAAAAGTTGTTTCTTGAATTATACCCACTTTCTACTTTGAGCTGTGACCTTTCAACTTCAGTCTTTGACATTTCTGCAGCCAATGACCATCAATTAATTAATCATGTGAAACACTGTGGAAGGACATTAAGAGCTGGATGTTGAAAGTGGGTAACAGAAAACACCTCTAACACCACTACTTTGGCTGCTACCTCTTCCTACAAAGTCACCCTGACCATTGCACAATATATACCATGTTTTAAGTATACAAATATTGAGTTCTTAAAACTTATACAAAACTTTTGATGAGGTAATAATGAACACTGTAATAATATGTTGTAAATAGACTGTGTGAAAGTTAGGATTTTTGTGTAATTTATCATTGCATCCATCCATCCACACATTTTTTTAAGTTCATAAGTCGGACAAAGTATGGGTACCTCAGCTTTTAAGTTATAATTTCATTGTGTAGATCACTGGTTAGGTCATATTTGAAGTATTTTGTTTAGTTTTGTGTTCCTTAACTTAGAAAGTACATTAAATTTTTGGAAAGGGTTCAGAGGAGGGCTTCTCTAAGATGATAACTGGGAAGGAAAGGTTGTCATAAAAATATAAGTTAAGATTCTCTGAACTTGTTTTCTGTTGAAAAAAATGAGTTATAGGTGATCTTATTGAGGTGTTTAAAAGTGTCAATGCATTATATTTTGTCATACTTAATAGTTAGAATGGTATGACTAGGGTATGCAAATCATTTCTGGCAGAGTAATAATCATCTTCAGCTTAGACAGGATTATTTTTTGAACAGGGTAGTTGGCCTTTGAAATGGGTTGTCTTTAGATAGATTATAGGTTTCAGGAAATTTAAAGCAAGTATTGTTAAATATTTAAATGATAAGAACTGGTTTAAATTTTTGTTTAAAGTTTTAGTGGGTGGGATGGCCTAGATAGATCAACAGGTCCCTTGTTATCTTGGAATTTTATAAGTGAGAAATCTTCATAATTTAAGTTTTATCATTTACTTTGATAAAGGCACTGTGATATTAAATACAAACTTGTTTTAAATATTTGATGACATGTAAATGTGAATGTGTGTAATAATTAAAGCTAAGTTATATCGTGTACTTTTGAATATCAAACAGGTCCGATACAGACTGAGACTGAAAGTATAACACCCACGGTGACAACACCAGTCATTATTCCAAAATGCACCCCAGGTTGGACTAAATTTTATAATATAGATGTTCCTTATACTGGTGATGGAGACTTTGAGTCAGTGAAAGAACTCGTAAAGAAATATCAGTTTTGTAGTGCGGATCAGGTTAAGGGCATTAAGTGTAAAGCTTCATTAAAGTCTCCTCTAAAGGGTAAGCAGTTTGTTGACTGGAAAGAAACTGGAGACAATGGTGTAGAGTGTTCCACTACCAAAGGACTGATATGCTATAATAACCAACAAGGAAAAGGTGGAAAATGTCATGATTACTCAGTTCAGCTTTACTGTGACTGTGGTATGATAAAATTATGTTTGTTTATAACTAACAATATATGTAATATTCATTTTACTTGCATGTTTGAAAAACCATTTTGTATCTTTCCTTTAATTATTACTAATTCATATCTTTTATTCCTAGTATCTACATCATTACAGCTTTTATATTAGTAGTTCAACCTTATTTGGAATATGCTGTTCACGTGTTAAAACTACAAATTTAAATAAAATATAATTAAAAATTAGTTACTTTCATGGCTTTAACAATTGAATAATTTCACATCTTTATTAAGGTTGGAAATATTCACGGTATACATGTTTATAGATTTTTTTTTACCTGCACATAAGATAGCATTAGGCAATCTTATATTTGTTATTTAGAATGTGCACAGTAATTACATTAGTTTTTGTTTTCTATTGCAACATTGTTTATTTTGTGCATGATAACAAAATAGATATTGTGGTTGAAGGAAAGTAAAAACTAAATACTATTTACTTTTTAATAAGTGAACATAGTTTTCCATAGGTAATTGTGTTCTTTTGTTATGTGAATATGATTATTATTATTACTACAATATATGTTGGCTGATTTTCTGTCTACCTTAAAATGAAGATGATGGGACCTTTAAAAGGACAAATCACTGAAATATATGGTGTGACTGTAACAGGAAGGAAAAGAAAGAAAGAACAGAAGTAGAGACTAACAAAAATTACAACAGTTTAGTTTAAACAACATAAATGTGTAGCTTTTTTGTTTTTTAGCAAAATCACATTGGAGTATTTGCTGTATCCACCATGGGAAATCAAACGTTAGATTTTCATGTTGTAAGCCCATAAACTTACTGCTGTCCCACTTGTAGACAAGTGTGTAGCACTTGGTATGCAGTTATACTATGCTATAAATGTCACATACTATTTGCAACTGTCTCACCCATAAGAGGAAAAAAACAGTACAGACTTATTCTGACTGCCTATGATTGAAGTGTGGAATTTTCATTGTTAAGCAAAAGTGCTGAAAACATACTGTGAACATGGGTATTTTACTAGCTTAATCAATACTTTAACATACGGCTTTGATCACTAGTCCTTGGATTAATTTATCTTATTTCTGACTCTTTGATCTGACTCTTACTAATTCTCTTGTAAGAATATACTTGGTCTTAATCCTAAAGTAGTTTTGAACTTTTGCTGAACTTGGCATCTTGTATGTGGTTGAAAAATCCTTGAATGCTTCCAGAAAATGAAATATTTAATGTTGGCTACAAATCTGAACCTAAAGTTCTATCTTAAAAAGGATTTAGAAAAGTGTTGTTCCTTTTATAAAAGTAAAGCTTTAACAGTAAATTTTGTACATCTTAATGAAGGAGTGAAAAATGCTCTTACCATAATTACAGAGTTGAACTTCTGATCTTTATGTAATGGAATTTGTTATAATAATACTCAGTTTTTAGCTGTCCTGAAAATGTGCATACACCTTACTGTCTAAATGCACATGGGCACACACTTCTTTTCAATGAATGTAAAGGGAAGGTGTGCTGTAAATATACTTTAGTAGATATTTTTGTACAACATGTTAAAAGCTTATTAAAGGTCTAATGTTAGGTTGTAGAATAACATTGTAAGTTTATTTTTTGAAAGTATTAAGTACGGTAAAGTTTAGCCCCAACAAAACTTATGGGAAAAAATATACACAAGTTACAGTGTTAATTTATCTCTTTATCAAATATAGACCATATTTAACCCATTGATTGCTGATTTACTGTATAAGGTATAGTCCACCTCCAGCAGTTGAATGCAAGTGTGCTGTATACAGTGTACAGCTCTCAAAAATTCCACATGCATTTAAAGCAGCTGCAGTCAAAGGGTTAATATAGTCTTAAGAATATTAGGCCTAAGACAAACGGACTTGTAGATTTCAGTGTCTGCAATTAGAAGTACTATTGCAATAAAGATGCTAAATTGACTGCATATGTTTTGTGGGTCTCTGCTAGTATAAGTATTAAATCTTGTTTATCAAAGTTTTCTTAAGTCCATAATTAAACCAGAGCATTTTGTTTTTGTGAAAAGAAATTACTAATAACAGTCACTAGCTTACAGCTCTAATGCTTTTCATAACACAAAAAATCTTAGCTATTGCAGATCTACTAAGAAAAGTGAGTGAACTCTGTTTTAGAGCTAGGTGATTAGTGGACCTTGCTAATCAATTGTCAAGCTCATTAACTGATTACAGTCAACTAATAGATTATTGACACATGATACTTGGATAGTTGGAATAATTGAAAATAGTAATTATCAGAAACATTAATTTTGATTATGTTCATGACATTAACTGATTTAATTATAATTTTGATTAATCTGATATTTTACGTGACACCAAGTGATGCTCTTGATATCAATTAATTGAGTTAACTTCTCAGCTGTTCACAGACTGCCCTATATGATTGTATCAGGTACTTTATGTAGCTTGCTTTAAGTAGTTACACTAGATTGTTATATAACTTTCCTATATGACTTTGATTTAGACTTCTATTATTATAACTTGTTCTGTATTACTTTTCTTAGTCTTCTATATGGCTTCATCTAACACTTCTGTAGATTCTGCTGTTTGTTATTATATCAGAGACTTCTCTACATTCAGCTATTTCTGAATATACCACTCTTCTTTAGATTCTGCTGCTTCTGATCATACCAGAGACTTCTATAGATTCCACTGCTTTTGATCATACCAGAGACTTCTATAGATTCCACTGCTTTTGATCATACCAGAGACTTCTATAGATTCTACTGCTTTTGATCATACCAGAGACTTCTATAGATTCTACTGCTTCTGATCATACCAGAGACTTCTATAGATTCTGCTGTTTGTTATTATATCAGAGACTTCTGTAGATTCTGCTGCTTCTGATCATACCAGAGACTTCTATAGATTCCACTGCATCTGATCATACCAGAGACTTCTATAGATTCCACTGCATCTGATCATACCAGAAACTTCTATAGATTCTACTGCTTCTAATCACACCAGAAACTTCTGTAGATTCTGCTGCTTCTGATCATACCAGAGACTTCTATAGATTCTACTGCTTCTGATTATACCAGAGACTTCTATAGATTCTACTGCTTCTGATCATACCAGAGACTTCTATAGATTCTACTGCTTCTGA